TCTTCCAACTCAGAAGAGTGGGTCTTTCAGAAAGAACATACTTCACTAATCCATTCATTCAAGAAAGATTTCTTGAACTCCTACTATGTCCCAGGCACTAAGCTAGATGTTAGGAATTAAACTGTAGAAACAGAAGCTTGCTCCACCACCAACAGGAAACACTGTAAGTTGCACAAGATGTAAATGTCCTGGCCCCATCTTATTGGCTCATCATATCAGATTTGTCCCTCCCAACTCCAGTTTTTGTTTGCCCTTATTAGACTTAGAGATAGTTTCTGAACTCAGGGATCAGGGTTTGGTTCATCAGCATTCTACTTTTAGACTATATCCACTCTTTGGCACCCTGTCTAGTGTCTATTCACAGAAGCTGCCAATCTGGCTTTGAAGTAGAAACTTCAACAGTAAGAGCTCAACTGGTTTGTAAGCCCACGATAGATACTAAGATACCTGACTTCTGTCTTTGAATTCCTGCTCTTACATCTTTTTTTCAGTTCAGTTATCCTCTCATATGTACTGGTCTTATTTTCCCCTTCCATCCTTCTTGCTTCACCCTTTTTGTCCTCTGGCCTGTACCCTTTAAAACCCTGGTAATCTACACTGGTAATCTCCCAAGTCACTCTTTGATAGAGCCTGAAAACCCATCACACACTTCTTGATGGACTGTGCATATTTTCCAGACTTCCTGGATACCAAGGCTGACATAGTTGACATGGAATCCAGCTAGTCCAATCAAAGATATCTACTTCAGTGAAGTCCTTAAAAACATCATCCTCTGGGTCATTTGCACATCGTGGTCATCATCATTGTTGGGCAAAGATCTAAGCTTCCTACTTTGGTAGATGTAAGGCTTTGGATTCTGGTCCTCTCCAGAGGTTTGGGAAACCTCCCAAATTCCATGGCATAAGAAGATCCCCATATTCACTTGATGGGATGAGCACTGAGTGTTATACTATATGTTGGCAAATTGAATTTAAATTTAAAAATTAATTAAAAAAAGAATTATAACTTTAAGGGTTAAACATGGCCTGTTACATAACAGGCTCTAGATAAATGCTAAAACAAACAAACAAACAAACAACAAAAAAGATGTCCATATTGCCTCAGTGGAAGACTGGACCCTAGCCCTCAAACACTCCCCAGCAACAATGTATTGCAGTAGAATGAATACTAGACTGGATATCAGAAAGTCTGGGTTCTCCTCTTATGCCACTGATTTACTTCGAGACTATGGGCAAGTTCTTTGGAGGCAGGCTTCTGGTAACTCACACACAGAATGTAGAGACCATTCTAAGTCATACTCCATTTTCAGCTCACGATGTCCACAAATCTGTTTCTGCAGCCTCTGTAACCAATAAGAGAGATTTTTGTAGCCATTTTATTCTGTTTGGGAAGCCACATGTTTATGGTTCCTAGACCACTGTGGCTGTGCTGGGTAGAGCTATGTACATAAAAACAAACAAACAAAGCCAAACAAAACAGAAGCATCAAGATAAAATGTGGGCTGCAGGTGCTTCTGTTTCACATTCAGACACAACAAAATTCCAGCAGAGCAGAGCTCACAGTGGTCAGTGTCCTGGAAACCGCCGCCTGAGAGTGTTACAAGAACCACCAGTAAACAGAAATTTCACAGAGGAAGACATAGACATGGCCAACAAGTACATGAGGAAATGCTCCACATCATTTGCCATCAGGGAAATACAAATCAAAACCACAATGAGATACCACCTCACACCAGTGAGAATGGGGAAAATGAACAAAGCAGGAAACCACAAATGTTGGAGAGGATGTGGAGAAAGGGGAACCCTCCTGCACTGTTGGTGGGAATGTGAACTGGTGCAGCCACTCTGGAAGACTGTGTGGAGGTTCCTCAAAGAATTAAAAATAGACCTGCCCTACGACCCAGCAATTGCACTGTTAGGGATTTACCCCAAAGATACAAATGCAATGAAATGCCGGGACACCTGCACCCCGATGTTTCTAGCAGCAATGTCCACAATAGCTAAACTTGGAAGAAGCCTCGGTGTCCATCAAAAGATGAATGGATAAAGAAGATGTGGTCTATGTATACAATGGAATATTACTCAGCCATTAGAAATGACAAATACCCACCATTTGCTTCCACTTGGATGGAACTGAAGGGTATTATGCTGAGTGAAATAAGTCAATTTGAGAAGGACAAACATTATATGGTCTCATTCATTTGGGGAATATAAAAAATAGTGAAAGGGAATAAAGGGGAAAGGAGAAAAAATGAGTGGGAAATATCAGAAAGGGAGACGAACATGAAAGACTCCTAACTCTGGGAAATGAACTAGGGGTGGTGGAAGGGGAGGTGGGCGGGGGTGACTGGGTGACAAGCACTGAGGTAGGCACTTGACGGGATGAGCACTGGATGTTATTCTATATGTTGGCAATTGAACACCAATAAAAAATAAATTTATTTAAAAAAAAAAAGAACCACCAGTAAAGCAGTAAACCGAAAGCACCCTGGTAGCTGAAGGAGGTAACAGAAGTGCAGAGGCCCCTCTGCAGACGAGTTTCTTCCTTTCATTGAACCACTCCAGTAGCAGGAACCAAACCGCACCCCCCTGAGACATTTAAACGATGTTCATATTTTAGCACTTGAACATCAGCTCTGGGAAGACCTAAAATGGGGCTAAGTGAAAATCGGCTAACATTTGCCTTGACATTGTCAGTGGCCTTTCTCTAATGTCAAAGATGGATTTGCATAATGATGCTGCAAGCTTGGGGAAAAACTGCGCACAGCAGGAGGTTTCCTGGCTGGCTTTATGGTTCAGGTTAGCTCAGCGGTGACTCTCAAGATGAAGAAAATCTCCTTTCAGAAATGCACCCAGTGCACAGGTTCTCAGACAGAAGAGTAACAGCCTAATGACCATTTAACTCACAACCTGATTTCTAACTTATAATTAAGATTGGCCCGATAAGCAACCAATTGACTGGGCAACCTTTTGCTTTGGTATCAAAGGGGCTTCAGAGAAGAGAGAGACCCAGCGATGTTACCTCATAAATCTCTTCTTGATTAAAATTCTTTTTAAGCTGGCCAGATGCCTGATAGAGGCCAACTTCTAAAGACTGCCTCTGTAACAGGTGTGTGAGATTGTGCAATCCTCTCTTTCCAAGGTCACTACCAGTCATAAAATGTCTCTCTCGACTGTGTCCATAAGGGAAAAATGCTGAACTAGCTGAGGCCCCTTCAGTCACCATCTATTCAGTGCCCCCCCTTTCATGGGGGGGCACCAAATAACCTCAGGCTCTTTCCCAAGTGCTTTCTCCTGATCCACCCCTGCTCTCACAAAAGGTTTGAGGACCCTTCTCCTAGTCCCTGAGGACTACCCTACAGGATCACTTCTCATAGTCTGTCAAGAGGTTGTCTAGTTTTGTTCTACTTCCGGTTGTGAACAACAGATCCCATTTTCTAAAATGTTCAAGGAATATATAAAAGCTCTTGCAATACCTTGAGAGGAAAAATTAGAAGAATAAAATTCTTAAGGTACTGGAATGAAGCTGATACTACAAGGGGACTCTCAGGAGCAGGCAGCCAGTGGACAGACAGATTTCTGAAGGCAGCAGGCTCGCTTGGCATCTGGGAAATCACAGTATTTGCATCAGAAGTGAGATGGACCTGTACCCACGCAGACCCTATTTCCACGCAGACCAAACAATATATTGCATGTTGAGATTTCATGGCTTACAAAGCCCTTTCTGTCTTTTCATATAACATATTATATATTTTTCATTCTCTCATTGATTAAAAGAATTTCCACACAAAGTCTGGATTCCTCGATGGAATTAAGTATCCAGGATTATTTCAAGCAAAAATGGCAAATAACCCCTTTTCATTCATTCACACTAATTAGGTTCAAAATGGAATTGTTTCTTTGTTTGGTTGTCCTGCTTCTAAGGCACTATCACGAAGAATCTGCATGTGTAGTTCTGCTCTGATCATTTTATCCTGTCCTGTGTAGAAATAACTTTTACCAGACTTCAAATCCTGCAGAAACATATCTTCCAGCTTATGTCTGGTCTGAACCAGAGTTGCAGCTTGTACAATTTGCTAACCGGCAATTGGCCCTAGAACCACATAAACACAGAATAGGCAGATAGATTGATTCAGAATTTCTGATTTTTTTAAGGGCAAGAGGGCAAATGCCTAGCTTCTCTAAGGCGAAAAGGCAGCAGCAGAAACAAAAGCCACACCCACTTCTTAATATATTATTATCAGTATCATTATGATAACACTGCACTTGTACAGCACTTTACAATTTACCAAGCCTTTCGACAACCATGATATCATTTGATACTCACACCAGCCCCGTGGGGCAGATGTTCATCAACACAGGCACTTGACAGATGAAGAAATTCAGGCACAAAAAGGTTAAGTGACTTACCCAAGGTTGCACTGTGAGTTGGAAAGCATAAGAATCAGTTGCTTTCTGTGCTAGAAAAATGAGGAATGGAGGTATCTGAAGAACTCACAATTCTGTCCCCTAAGAGTCCTCCTGATTGAGAGGAATATAACTAAAACTTTCATTTGGCGGTGTGTGGCATGCTCATCTTTATTTCCACTAGTGTTTTCAGTGTGTGAAACATGCAGAAGCAGCAGACATGCAGGCTGCTCAGTGAAACTGGCATGAAGCAGATATGATAGCTAATATTCAATAATGAGCTAATGCTCGACATTATGTGCCAAATAATCAATGTGCACTGTAACCTAAGCACCACAAAACCCCGATTAAGGTGTGGATTCGTTTGGATTTCATGATTGTTTATTTCCTGATAATCTTGGTAAATGAAAATCTACCCCTCTAGGAAGCAAGGGAGGAATTTCCTTATGGCTTGTTTTTTACTAACCATCAGCCAGCCCACCTGACAAAGGCCAAACATGAACTTGTTGAACATTCACAGAGACAGACACATCTTAAGACTGAGATATTCCACAAGATCTGTTGGGATTAAATTCCAAGTCCTTCAATAGCCGTGTTCCCCAGTCTCTCTGGAGTTTAACAACAAATACCAATTAACAAGAACATGGCAAAACCTTCTTCTCCCCTTCCTGCTGAAATTTTTTTCCAAAAGGGAAAAAAAATTAAATGGAAGTGCTAGCATATTCTATGAAGGTAGGCTTTCAAATATAAAAAAAATAGGAAATTCGCAACATTGGTAGCAAACTTTGCTTTCCTTAGAGATGTTTTTAAGGTAATTTGATATTCTGTATTCTACAGGCCACTTCTACAGGGGAAAATGAAGTTTATTCACGGAATTTTATTGTTGAAAAATAGCTACTAAGCCTGCTAGCGGAAATGTGTTTATGTGGAAAGCTGCACTTTGAAGAAGGTAATTACTACTTTTATATGTTTCCATTGCCACTGCTCAATTCTCATTTTCATAGTTGAAAAAGAAAAACAGGTTTAAATAATGCAATGCTTATTAGCGTACAAATATGGACCTAATTGTCTCTTTTTGACTCTCAGAAGTAATTGGCAATGTCTTCTATGTAAGTGGGTTAAGAAATATGCCACAGATGCAATTATAATAAAAACTTTCATTTGGAAATTGCAACCTTATCTTCATTGTCTTAGTAGTTCCACAATAGCTCCCTGTCACTCTGCACTCTCCTTAGAGGATCTGTTATAAGGATATGTGTAGAGCAGTAAAAACAATATACCCAGTGTATTGAATTATAGCAGTCCATCAGTGCCCTGTAGCACTCTGGAATACCACACATACTCAGGTTGCATTGAACAAAGCCAAAAGGAGAGTTGAAAATAAAAACAAAATGGTTATTTGGCATGAAGTAGACCTTGAGATAACCCCCAGGTTTTTTTGTTTTTTGTTTTGTTTTGTTTTTAAAATTAGATTCAGTTTCCTTTTCAACTGGACAAAGCAATTCAGGAAGTAGCATGGCCTGACTGTTCTAGAATTTTCTTAGAAATCTTTTCACTGACCTTTTCTAAGCCTCGAAAAATGTTTCCGCCTAACACTGCACATTTCTTTTTCCTACGAGCTTAGAAAATTCCTCTCACATTTCAAAACATGTGCTAGAGATTGATGAGATTTTAGTTAAATTTGCTTGATGATTATAAACACTCATTTAAAAAACACTAGGCTCATTTCTATATGTGATTGCTCAACCTGGGAAAGTAAAAAACTCAAAAAAACAGATTTATTTTTTGTTGTGTATTGTCAAATACTAGTTTAGCTGATTGTGTTTGTTTGTTTGGTTAGATTTTTATCCAGAATGAATAATCTAATTGCCATTTCATAGATCCCCATATATATATATATATATATATACATATATATGAATTTCAAAATATCCTTGCTATGTATATTCCATGAAGCCAGTTTTCAGTACATTTGTTTTATGTTATACTGACATCTATGGACTCCGTAAGAGAAATTCAGCTTTTTAGAAAAATTCTCTTGGCTGCTTATAAGCAACTTAAAATGTAACTCAACTATGTAAGATGAAGAATCTCTAAATCTACTACGAGTAAGCCACTGGCTAATCTTTGAATCTTATCACTTAACTCAAAATCATTACAAAGCTCTTCTACCTACCTACAATCAAAACTTAAGGAAGAGGTGCTGAGTCTCCACTAGTAAAGCATTAGCATCTCCTCTTTAATGAAGGATGGTCCTTATTAGTGAGACAATAAGGGGGGGTCCTGTCAGTGCATACAGATTTGTTTACTGTATTCTTATGATAATATTCATTACTGTAATTACTGTGTGTCAAATACTGCACTAAATACTAGGGATATAATAATGCATAAATAGACACTGGCCCTGCCCTTAAGGAACTCACAGTCTAATGGAGGAGATGGAGAAATAAAACAAGCAATTTACAACAGAGTATGATAAGTACTATGATAGGATATATTTGTCAGAATAGGCTAAATGCTATAACAAATCTCATGATATCGGTGGCTTAACTCTGTAAAGGTTTTTTGCTCATTCAAGTCAAAGTCCAATGTAATCAGAAGGAGGCAGAGGGGCCTCTACTCCAGTCATTTAGGGACCCAGACTCCTTCAATCTTATAATAATAACACCACCTTTAAGACATGGTTTCTAAGATTGTTGTGGAAAGAAGGAGAGCTTGGGAGAAAACACAACCACCCTTACCTGGCTCTGCCCAGAAGCGCCACATCAATTCTGCTCACATTGCACAGGGGAGAACTGATCAGATGGCCCCACTTACAAAGGAGAATTAGGAAAGGTAGTTCAGCTGTGTCCCTAAGAGAAGGAAACATGCTTGGTCAACAACTATTGATAAGTTGATATAACTACTGGCAAGTAGAGGAAGCCAAGAAAGTAAAAAAAAAAAAAATCCTCTCAAATCTAATCATATATTGTTAGAATAAGTAAGAACCATAGAAAACTGGAGAAAATGGAGGAGAAAGTTAACTAGTAACTAGCTAAGAACTAGATAATGAATAACTTGAGTAAGCCAAGAGGCTTAGAATGATAATTTCAACTATAAGTTCTCATTTCTTGCTTGACTGTTGATAACTATATGTAACTAGTGTTGACTACACAACCACTTCAGTGAAAATAACTACAATAAGCAGAGTAAACCAAAAAGCTAAAAACTCAGTCTTTCCAAATCTAACTTTTTATTTTTTTGTTAAATAGCATAGCAACTCAGAACTACATAAAACTAGAGAAAAAAGAGAAAAAATGTATAACTAGTTACCTAGTAACAAGATAACTAACAGCTACATACGACACACAACTACAATTGGAATAAGCCAAGAGAATCAGAAATGCACATTCCACTCCATACTAATGTCCCATTTCTTACTTAATAACAATGGGTTACTAGACATTGCTGGTTGTAACGATGTAAATAGTTAACTAGAGAGAACTAGAATAACTAGAGGACACCAAAAACTGAAAATCACATTCTTCTCAACTTTAACTTCTTATTTCATGCTCTGAATATTGTCTAGCTCTGGATTTCCTCATTATTGTAATATGTCCCCTATTAGGGTGCCTCACTGTTTCATTGTAAACCCTATCTGCTCCTACTTCATACTACCCTGATGTTGAAGAACAATTCCTTGACTCAATGGCTACTTCAAAATGTATGCTCCATTACAGGTTAGAGCCCAATACTGCTGGATCGTGCTTAGTGGTAGTGGGCCACAAAAAGCCTGGTATGGAGTAAGGTCCTGTTTATGCAAAAGGAGAAGGAGCTGCTAGAACATGGAATATATCTGAAATACAGAGAAAGCCAAGCAACCAGATAGACAATGGAAGTTATGGGAAAGTACATTTGCAAATGGCATAATCCCAGATCAAAGTCACTTGAAAAGAAAAATAAAATTATTGGCTCATATAACTGGGAATCAAGGTACATCTGAAATATCTAGACCAGACACTCAAGTGATACCATCAGGAATATCTCTGTCCATCTTTTGCCTTTGCTTTTCTTTGTTTGTTGGCCTCATTCTTTTCTAATAAGTTAGGTTTTTCTTCATGGCAGGTTTTTCGTTATGGCAGAGATGATGACTGCTTACAGCCCTCTTTCTCCTAGATTTCTGACACAGAAAACAAGGCCATTTTGCTCTAGCTCAAAATTGAAAACCTCAAGGAAGGACTCAAATTGCCTAAGCTTGATTACATGCTTAACCCAGAACAATCAATGTGGTTAGAGGAATGAAGTTTTATGTTTGGAGGGGCCTGAGTCAGAAGCCCACCCCTGTGACCAGTGAGACAGGGCACTATGATTAGCAGCTGCCTCACCAGAATCACTCGATTGGACAGGAGAAGCATTCCCCCAAAGGAAGTGGGGATGCTAGGCAGTAAAACCAAATACAACCAGCACCAGGTCCGAGAACCTATAATTTAATTTTCTGAGAAAAGTCCAAACCTGGACCTCTATTAAGATATTATCCAGGGATTTGACACAAATTGGAACTAAATTTGCTCTAGGATGTTGCTAGCTGAAGGATATTTGTGCTGTTAGAGTCTTTATTAGGCAGTCACATCTAATTAAGATAGCAGGAGGCATGGTTGGAATTGAAAGACACAAAGGTGAAGCCACATTTGGTGTAGAACGGAGGACTCTCAAGAGATATGTAATCTAGAAGATGTGTAATCTTATAATAAGTCCAGTGAGGCAACCTGTATATTTTACTACAATGGGTACAAAAATGGAGTCATTGATCAAAAATCCAAGGATGATGTACTGAAGAGAAGTGTAATGTACTGACTAAGGTGTCAAAGATGAAACCTCCAGATCCAGGAGATGAATCGGGCCATAATTGGAGATGTAATGGCCAAGGAAAGATAGGGTGCAGGATGTTTGCCCAAAGATGCATATATTTGTGCATATTTTTGAGAGAATCCAGTTTAAAAACAACAGATAGCATCATAACTCCAAAGTTGTGACACACCTATGACCAAATTATGAAGGTCCATGCATAAAATAGTGTTTGGATATACTAAATTATATAATGCATATAAAGTATTTTTTACAATGAGCACATATTAAGTATTCAGTCAATGGTTCTATTATTAATACTACTATTACTATACACATGGCATTATGCCCATACAATATATACAATCTGTGACAATTTTATTTAATAGGTATTGCTCCTCCATTTTATTTTTTAATGGAGTGAAACAATAAAAACAAAAAGAAACACAGTAGGGGAGAAGGTAGGAACTACTATGATAAAAATATGGAATGCTTTATGAATTTGCATGTCATCTTTGTGCAGGGGCCATGCTAATCTTCTCTGTATCATTCCAATTTTAGTATATGTGCTGCCAAAGCGAGCACTGCTACTCCATTTTTTTATTTTTATTTTTTTAAGATTTTATTTATTAATGAGAGACACACAGAGAGAGGCAGAGACACAGGCAGAGAGAGAGGCAGAGTGAGAGAAGCAGGCTCCATGCAGGGAGCCTGACGTGGGACTCCAACCCTGGTCTCCAGTCTCACACCCTGGGCCGAAGGCAGGCGCCAAACTGCTGAGCCACCCAGGCATCCCATTTGAAACAATTTGCAAAGATAACAGAAATGTTCATTTGTGGAGTTGCAATTTATTTTTTAACTTTATTTATTTGTTTATTGGAGAGAGAGAGAGAGAGAGAGAGAGAGAGAGAGAGAGAGAAAGAGACAGCAAGCATGAGCAGGGGAATGGGTAAAGTGAGAGATGCGGGGCTCAAACCCAGGGCCCTAGGATCATGACCTGAGCCGAAGGCAGATGCTTAACCAACTGATCCACCCAGGTGCCCTGCAGAGCTGGAGTTTAAATCTAATCTGTATGACTCCAAGATGTGTATTCTTACCAGTATGCTACATCTCATGGAATGCTGGTGATATCCTATGAATGACCAGGCAATTTACAGTCTTTATTTGATGTTTAGAGCATGGTGTAGACTCTGGTAGTTGGCATTTTTATCCCTTATAGGATGAGAAATCTGTTGTTTAGAAGGCTGACTTGACATTTCTGGAGTTTTTCATAGAATTAATGATGCCACTAGTGCTGTGCAGAATGAGGTGTTCTACTCACTCAAGCAAGGATATTAGAGTACATCATATTATAGCTGTACATCACATTATTGCTCAGGTTAGACTGAAATCCCAGGGTGTTCTAGTGCATAACGAGATACAGTGTTGTTCATAAGTCTCTGGGAGACTTCAGGTTTGTTACACAAGGGAACATGATGTGATATTCACTTTATCTACATTCCTTGGAAAGTGGATTTCTCATCTTCCTTTCAAATCTATATCAATTTGTATGTCTTCCAGAAACGTAGGCAAAAGAAAATGCAGCCTAAGAGTCATGCATGGATAAGAGGCTTCAGGCCTCAACCCTGGACAGTGAAAGCACCGAAGCCTTAATAATAGTTTAAAAACTCGAGTGGGGGGCAGCCCAGGTGGCTCAGCGGTTTAGCGCTGCCTTCAGCTCAGGGCCTGATCCTGGAGGCCCGGGATTGAGTCCCGCGTTGGGCTCCCTGGATGGAGCGTGCTTCTCCCTCTGCCTGTGTGTGTCTCTGCCTCTCACGTGCTCTCTCCCTCTCTTTGTCTCTCATGAATAAATTAATAAAATCTTAAATTAAAAAAAAGCTCAAGTGGGAAATGCAAAGTGGTTGGGGCTAGCTCTTTGTAAGAAGTTCTTAAACCTTTGAACTTATGGATTTATAACTTAGTTAAACCTTTTGGCAGAAATCATCACCCCAGGCATTTGGGGGATAGTCTAATCACCCTCAGAGTTGAAGGTACCACCTTTGGCATCTTGCTTGTTAAGCCCAGTTATGAATCCTACATATCTGGGATGCTTCCTCAGGGCAGCCTTTGTCATTTCCTGGATGGTTGCTACCTACTCACTATGCTTCTGAGATCCATGGAACATTAGGGTCCTATCACATATATATTGATGTTTCTAGGGAGGAAAGTAAAAATCAAATTAAATCAAATCAAATAAAAACAAAATAAAATTAAAATATGAGGTCAAAATGTTTGGGAAATAGTGGTTAAATTTTCAACAGGTTTATCATCCATTATGGGACATCTTAGAGGTTTTTATAAGCTCGTATATGCTATGAATCTTTAGGAGAAGCAACTAATATGAAGTTTTCCAAATGTATTTGACCAGGGTTTGTTTCTTCTTGATGACTACATACTACCATCTTATAGAAAACTAGTATGTTTCCATGAAACACAGCTTAAGGAATGCCAGTCTAGGCTAGTGTAGCAATAATAAGTATGATGTATATCCACTGTATTTATACTAGGGGATCAAGGTGGTGTCAGAAGTTTCTGGCAGCTCATCTAAAAGTTCTCAAGTCAATGCAGAGAAAGATTAAGAAGAACGCTATCTCCACCAGGCAGCATGTCTGACAAGTCTTTCGAACTCAGAAGGCAATGTCTGACACAGGTCCTTTGAGCTGCACCTTTGAGGTGCACCTGGGCTATACACCCTCCCCCTGCCTTGCTCTGCTCTGCTCAGTGTTGAAGGTTGGGGTTTATTGGTGTATACTGCAGTTTTGTCACTGGCATGGAAGCTCCTCTCTACATCCCAGTCATAATGGCATTAACCCTATTTGCCTCGTTCTTGTCATACCCCTCTCCCTGGTGATGATACATGATTAAATGATTGACTATGATGAGTAAATAAAATCACATATGTCTTAGGAGGTAAATTAAATTATATATGTAAAGCACTCAAAACAGTGCCATATGACATTCACTCAGCAAATGTTAGTTCCCAAATGGATCTTGCAAATCTCCTTAAAATCTGTAGCATCCATTCAATGCTTTTACTTTTCATTTGTGCACATCTTGATAATATTTGGAATTTTTTTAAAGCACAAACATGAATCAACTTCATTTAAAAAATTAAAATAGCTACAGAAACCTGTCACAAAAGACAAGTATTATATTATTCCATTTATATGAAGTGGAGTAGAGTAGTAAAATTCATGGAGAGAGAAAGTAGAATGGTGGTGGCCAGGGGCCATGGGGAGAGTGGATGAGAAGTTACTAATGGGTAGGGAGTTTCAGTTTGGGAAGATGAAAAATTTCTGGAGGTCGATGGTGTTGACAGTTGTACAACAATGTAAATGTACTTAGTGTCACTGAATTGTATACTTCAAAAATGGCTAAAATAGTAAATTTTGTTTTGGGTTCATTTTACCACAATTTAATGTTCTTAATTAAAATTAAAAATATAACTAAACTAAAATGTTTCTCTCTCTTCCTCTTCTCCTTAAAAAACCTCTGCCTCCCTTTAGTCTCCTATTCAACTAGCTTTCCATACTGCCACTAGAATGGTGAGTCTGGCCACAATCCTCCGTATTAACCACTATGAGATAAAATGCAGTATTCACCCTGACATGCAAGGCTCTTCCCTTAAAGCCCCTACCTAGCCTCATCTCCTAACACTGCCCTGCTTTGTATCTCTAGTCAAACCACACAAAATTGCTCTTATTTTTCCAAATGTGGTATTTCATGACTTGTCTTTGCCTAAAATGCCTTCTCAGACTCCCTTATCTGCCTGACAAACACCTCATCCTTCAAGGCAAGGTTTGGTGGGGCCTTCTTTGACACCCTCACCCCCTCAGGCCAGGCAGAACACTGCCTCTTTTGTGCCACCACTCTCCCTAATATGGCACTCTATCACCGCAGGTAGCACGCTGCATTGCAATGGTTTGTTTATATGTCCATGCCTGTCACTAGATTGGGAGGACCTCAAGGGCTCATTCATGATTGTATCCCCAGGGTTTAGAGCTCATTGCTTGCTACGTAGGAATTGATTAATGCATTGTTGAGTGAGTGAATAAATATAGAGAAGTGGAACCACTGATCTGTTCATTTTTATCCCGGTTTCCACCACTACTATCGATAGAAATTCCAAAACAAATTCCTTAAAGACATTGTGTGTTGTCTGGGCAGCAGGTTGATCCATACCTGGTGACAGAAAAGAAAGAGTGGCCAACCTCAAATGCCTAAATGTGTCTGCCTTCTTTTCTGCCCCTAAAGAAACCACACCAGGCTTGGAACCAAGAATGTTTCCCTTTCACACTGTCTAACTGTGGATTAGAGTAATAAAGGATTTAGAGTTGGGGTAAGGAGCGGCACCGGAGGGGACTCCCTGAAGGAAAAGGAAATTTTTTCTGGTTTTACCACATTGGAGCTGAACTCTGTTTTTCATAGAAATGCTATTATATATGATGCACACACTATTATACTTCAAGCATATTTTTTTTTACTTCAAGCATATTATGGGTTAAGTAGCCTTGGGTGAGCTGGTTTGGGAGTATGCCTATAATTTATAACATTGTTTATATGGGAAAATCGTTTCTGAGTTCAAAAAAACAAACCTTTGGAACGTAACTTGGTGACTTCCGGAATTCTTTTAGAAAGTACCGTGAGCATATCAATGGAAATCTAGAGATACATGAAAATGAAATGTTTTAATATATGATGATGGCTATAGTTAACGGCCACATTACAGGTATTCTGACTAGATTATACCAACTCTGGTCTGTAGTTCTTGAATTACACATTATTGCCACTTGGTATTCTATACCAAGGTAATCGAAATAAAGTTGAAAGAATGGAAGTTTCCGTTTTGACCCCATCTCACAAAGGTCTACTGTTCAGTAAAACCTATGAGTGTCATACAAGATGCCTGCAACTTTGCTTTAGGACACAAGCAGCCAGCAAAAGGGACACACCCTCTTTCGAGCACTTTTACAGCAAAATGTCAGGCCATGAAAATGACTCACTGGCTTACAGTTTGTCATCAGGGTAAAATATTCCCTGAAATAAAACAGTTTTCTGTAGGGACCCTCTGTGCGTAAACAGATGCATTTGCAAGCCCACATGACCTAAATGGTTATTTCTGGCCGTTCTCCTTCCCACATCCAAATGTTTGTGATATATTACTATGCAGTTGAAGGCTGCAAGGCAATATGCATGATTTGAGAGGAAACAGTTCATTTACTGACACTACACAGAAAAGTTGAAGAAAGAGGCTTTCTTAAAAAAAATAGAAGCAGGAATCTAAAACTGCTTTTAAGAATCACCATTTTCCTGTTAGAAAAAACAATCATGGATATCTGTCAAATACTAATGACAGGTCTGTCAATCACACCCCAACCGCACCCCTCCATGTTTTCAAGAGCTTGTCTTCTTATTGTAAAACTAGCTTTTAACTATTTCCAAAGCAACAGAATTATATTGCTGCTATGTGTGACTGAAATGCATGACAGGTTGTTTGGATTGCAATCCCAAGGCCCCAGTTATGACCCTACCAGGGAACACACTCT